AATATAATAATGAGCAGTTGTGCACTAAGTGTTCAAAAAAGTACCTATACTCTATATTATCAGTTTTAGCCAGGATTATTCTGGGACATTTTGTTATATTTTATATGATAGCAGAGCACAGGTTCCAATACTGGTGATTTTCCTATATATAGCAGTTTAGCATAGGTATATATGGTAGGTACCAGTACTAGGTATATTATTTTATAGGTACTAGTGATAATGAAGAATACCTCAAAGGGGGTGGATAGCTAGACTTCAGCATAGCCCAAGTCCACAGTGCGATTCATATACCTTCCCGAGCGTAACGCAACCAGGCATCTTCACAGCTTTTGACACAAAGCACCCACCACAACAGCGCTGTTCAGTCACAGGCCGCAGCGCATACAGGCCGGAGCGCAGCAGGCCCTACCGCAACAGCTACTCCTAATGTAACTTGACCTAACCTAACCTGTGCCTGTTGGGTAGGTTAAGGTAGGGCCTGTTGCGCTCTGGCCAGTTGGGCTCCGGCGCTGTGAAGCAGTGGCTGCGTTGTGCACAGCAGATTTACTGTTAGCCAGATTTACCCACAGCTCATTGATCTGAGGCTATGTGTAGATATTGCATGCTGATGGTTGGCATTAGGCTCAGGGCCTGTTTACGAGTCAATTTTGTTACCCACGGCTGCGCTCCCCCTCAAAGGGAGGCTCCAAGTCAGACTCAGAAATCCTGAATAGTAATTACTTCTGGTAGCTCTTATGGTCCTTGATGACCTCTACTGAAAATGTTGAACATGATTTCTCATTTTAAATTGGTAAGCTTTTAAAAAGCATCACTATGTATTTCTTTCAGTTCATGTGAAACCTGCAGTGGCCATCATACGATAGCTGAAAAGTTTGGACTGCTGTGGCTGACCCTGCATTAATTAAAGATAATCAGTTAAAAAGCTTAATATAATATAAATTTTGTATTGCAGTTGTAATATTTTAGTATTGATTGATTAGAGGGTTCAAAATGATGCACAATATCACATTTGTGTCCAATTTATTACTGTCATCAGTTTGATTGGTAAGATTCGTGACCCTTGTAAGCATTTTGTTCTTTAGTATTGGATGCAATTGACAGGAACTCAGAAAGATGCTGGTTTTCATGGATTAACACTTGACTTCATCTACCTTTGTACTATGTGCCTGTGGCCCAGTTTGAGAGAAAATTGTTTGTGTGTTGAGGTGGGGAAGAATTCAATAGTCAAATGTTAACCAGCATACGTGGCACATAGGAATATAGGACCTGTTTGCTGTTTGTAAGTGTTGTTGGGGTTGTTTTTATTTGTTAGGATATGAGGCATAGGTTAAAACAGTGTTTAAATGGCTAAGCAACTTGAACGGAACTAAATGAAGTGTCCTAATCACTTCTTGTGTCTGAATGTCACTTGAGATTGAGGCATGCTATTGCTGTCATGTATAAACTGGATCTCCTTCCCAGCTTCAATCATTTTAGACATTTCACTTTAAATTTGGCTTCTTTTCATTTGTGTAGGTATTCACAAGGATTTTCCTTCTCATTTTGATCAATTGCTTTTGACAATCAATTCAAACATAAATTTATAAATATATACCTATATATAATGTATATAATGTGGTTTTACCTCATAGTAAACTCATTTTGGCCAGCTGTACTTAGGATTGGTAATCTTCAAAAATACAATACACATACATTTATATATAGATATACATATCATCATTTGTTCAAGATAAATATTTTAGGCCATGGAATTAGTATTCTCATGTCAGAAGCTTCAATTTCGTCTCATGACATGCAAGGATAAAATGAAAATACCAGTATTTGATTATCAAGGATACAATTATATAGTAACTTTCAAGAGCAAGTTGAATATTAATAATTATATGGATGGTATTACTCCTCCATCAAAGCTAAGCTCCTTCATTTGCATGTTTTTTCCTGCAATTATTCCATTAATATCATTAAACCAAGCATACGATAAAATGTTCTATGTGTTTTTTCAGATCTGTTCTTGTGATGATTGAATATTGTCAGAATCTCAGAAATGCAATGAAATTTTTAGGCATAGGATCAAATATCCATGAAACTTCTGTTATGACTATGAATAAAATTACAAAAAATAAATAACTGAATAAATCTAACTAGTACAAGTAGATCTGTGATAATGATTGTAATTCTATAATAATTATGTAACTAATAATTATATAATTATTATAATAATTAAATAACTAATAAAATTCACCCTGTGTGGGATGAAATTTCAAAACATTTGGAATACTTTGCTGAGAGAGAGTGAAGAAGTTACACAAAAATATAAAGAAGAACAACATCAGAAAATATCCTGAATAAAATGTCTGAAGATCATGATGCCTCCTGGGGATGGGGGGCTGACGAGAGCCCACAAGATGATGATGAAGTTGTGGTGCAGGAGAACCCTGCTGCACAACTGCAGCCTCCTGGTGGTGATGACGATGATGATGATGGTGATGACAGATCACCACTCCTTCCCGACCAACAGGTAAAAATCCTGATTATTATATTATTCTCTTCAGATTTATTATTATTAGCTGCAGCCTCCTGGGGATGATGATGATGATGATGATGACAGATCACCACTTCTCCCTGGCCGACAGGTAAAAATCCTAATTATTGTATGATTCTCTACAGATTTATTATAATTGCTAGAAAAATCTCTTAATTTTGGTACTAAAATCTCTTGATTGTTTGGAATCACAAAAATATCTACAAGAAATATTCTAAACTAAAAAAATGGCACACAGATTAAAGAATAACTTATGAAAAAATATGTTTATGGTTTTTAATTGATTGTATTTTATTCTAAGATTGTGGAAGTGATAATATAGCAGGAAATATTAATTTTATATTTATTATGTGAATTTTTGTGCCCTTTGCTTTGCTTTCATTTTCTCTCTCAAGTGTAGTAGATTCTTTCAATTAATATATTTTTCATGAATGTGTTTGAAAAACTTTATAAACATAATCTATCTTTTTTACAAAAATCAGGAAAAATGTATACAGAATATTTCATTACAAAAATCCAAGAATGTATTTTTATTCACAAGATTTTTAAGTTTACAGGAAAAAATTGTACAAAATTGTTTCTTACAAAAATCCCAGAATGTATTTGTATTCACAATATTTATTAAATTCAATGATAACGAGCTCAATGTGGTTTGTTGATGAATGATGGATACTTGTGTGAGTATGTAGAAAACAAGTTCGTGAATTAATATGAAACTGGATGCCCGTACATTAAATCGTGATTTTATAATACATGTTTAAGTTATATATCAGACAATTCAATTGTTTTTAATGAATGGTCTAAATAACAGTCCCGTTCGAGCTTCTAACAGTCCCAAAAAATTAGATTATGGTACTTCGTTATTTGAACAATCATAAATGAACTTTTATACGGTGGCGTCATCGAAAATGGTTTTGAAGTTTCCAAACTGGTGGAAAATACTGATGTGTTGCAACTGGTAATTATTATCATTAAATAACTTTACCAGCAGATATTTCCCATGCATAATAAGTGCGATCGCAGCAAATGTTAATTCCCTCCAGGTTTACCTTTTATTTTGATAAACGATAATTTTCCAGGAAACTATTGGAAAAAAATTTATCTTATCAGCTGAAAGTTTGTTATTTTGCTTCAAGCCCTAACTTTGGCCGTTTGAATTAGTTTAATAGATGGAAAATCATATTACACTCATTTGAGATTTCGTCGCATTACATTAATAAGACCTATTTCTTGGTTGTTACTTAGTTATTAATATTACTTAGTTAACCGCTTCTACTTTGGTCCTTAAAGAAATTTTGATCTTTGATATGGCATCAATCTTCTACCGAGTCGTGAAATTTGCATCATCAGTTTCCACGTACATCTCGACATATTTGAACACTTTTAATACACCTTACTTGCGACGTTCTCCGTTGCGCATTTTATAAACATTCTTAGTTTTTTTTCTGTAGTAAAATAGACCACTTTTGTGGGAAATCTTATACCAATATTTTTTTTATTGAAAGTAATTTGTTGTGTAAAGTTAGTTCCCCTTAGTTCATCCATGCTCCGTTTGTTTACGACCAGTCAAGTTACTTATGCGATTTCATATCAATTCTTGATAAAGTAAATACGATTAAAGATTACGCGATGTTTTCGTAGTCATGATACCCGAACTTTCCAAGGCCTCATAAGTTCGGCAGTCGAAAATGTAGGAAAAGTTATCAAATAATTTTGTGACGGAATTTAGAAATAGAAAATAATTGGTGCATCAGCAATTGAAATCGAAAGGAATTAGATAGACTGCTCTCTTAAGCTCGACTTGATCTCATTTTCAGGTTCACAGCTTCCTTTGTGCGTTGAAAATACGGTGAATTAAAGGTATGAAATATCATCACTTCTAAGAAGACGTATTTGATTGTGGCGAAGAAGTTCAGTACCTATTACTGCCTGCATTTATCGTGAAATTTCTGCTGCCTGATTTATGGGGTTTTTGATCAAAGAAAATCGCCTGAAAATATTACTACTTTCTTTGCATAATATTATGCATTCGTCTAATTTGTTGGGAGCTCGAATTTCGGTATTTTTAACTTTGAATCAAGAAGATAAATCGAGACTTCTTTTGAAACCGCTTGTAAGCCGAATTAGTTCGCAGTTTGGCCACGCAATTCTTTATTAGTTGTTTTATGGAAAATTTCAGCGATTAGTCGTCGCTACATATCATTTTTCTGCAATGAAATGTACGTATAAATCATGGAAGCAGAAATTCATAAAACCGGAACGTTTACCCCTTGAAGCCGACAATGCCTATCATTAAATCCGCTGCGCTGTTTACCGTAATTTGTTTCCACTGCAATGAACGTTCAATTATTTAACAGATATGTGCCGTCTTTGGTCGAAAACCTGTTCGATAAGTTGACACGACTTGAGGCGTGACACGCGCTCTGGTGTGATGATAGCTCGGCGATCCTGGTCGTCATGTTACGATATTTTAACCTCAACTCGGCTTTATTTGTGTCAGCTCAATAATTTCATAGATAAGCGTGTCATAGTGAAGATGAACGTGTCAAGTGAAGATGAATCCGGGTTGTGTCGTCGCTATCGGCTTTAGCTTGTCCGATTTTTTTATACAGATTAATTTTGCCAGCTTGTAGGTCCTCATCAGTGATATCGATTCTTGGAAAGGATTAAATTTTTATTATATATTTAGCATTCTAGTTTTGACACTTGTTTTTATTGGATGTTGTAAGGTATGTTTTCAGTGACTGAAGCGAACTGTTTTTCCACTGAAACCTGTTGTCTAATCAGTCGCTGTTGATGAATTGAGGGGCTTATCAGTTGAAGCTTTCAGGCTAACTGTATAACTGTACGTTCTCAATGAACTTCCCAATTTTTCAATTACCACATAATGCTTTTTGTACAGTTAATGAAGTTGAGGCCAACGGTGATCGGTAAAAAATTTGCTTAAGATAGATTGAAATCATTCTAGGATCTCAACTGAGTATTTCTACAATATTTATTGGTAGTTGATAACAACATTCATTTGATTCCTACTCTGTAGTGTACCGTTATCAGTAGATGTGATTGCTTCTTAATTAAAAGTCGCATGAGCGACAGGCGTTCGGTTGTGCTTGGAAAGCTCAGAATGTGGCCGAGTTTGTTATGTCAACAACGTATTCTTGTTGGTATACTAGAGTCGTTGCCATGTCGTTTGCACGCTTCTGTCTCCTGCTCCCCTGTATGTACTCTCATTTGTCACGCTCTTGCGAACGTTCAACATCATCGTTTATCTGGTATTTTCATGTGTTAAAGATTTTTCTGATTTACGAAGTCACAAAATAAATCCACTTCGCATCTGACCAGCCGAGGTGCGCGTCATCTGTCTTATTCATGTGCATTCTCACCATTCGCGTTCATGTGCGCTTCCACAAGCCACATCCATTTGCAATTTCATGTCACATCCTTATGCAAATTTATCCGGCGCGTTCGCATACGGCGGAGGCCGTGTGCACTTCGGTCTGTTATATTCAGTACACCTTCATCGTCCCGTTCATGTGCACCTCTACATGTCACGTTCGTGTACACTTTTGACTGCCACGTTTATTTGTGCTTTTTTTTTTGTCCTACTGAACATAAGTCAACCTCAAGTCGGAGATGACGAGATCGGCTCCTTCAGAACAGCGGTGTAAGGTTCCGTCATTTGAAGCTCCTCCGGTGCCTGATGTTGTATGACTTAACAATTTGATTATTATTCATGCTCTTGTGTTTGTTCCGGTGACGTTAATATGGAAAGGTGATACAAATATAGTTATGTGTGTAATCGTGCTTGCCAAGAATTCCGTGCTTGTATTTATTACATTTAAATTGTCTTAATAATGTTTGTCATATTATTTTTATTGATTAAGTAATGATGTTGATAATTTCAGGGCTCCCGGACACACGCAAGTATGGGCGACTCAATCATCGGAAAGCCGTCTCACATGGCGCAATATATTACGGCTCTTGCGGCCACCATGGGCGCTCTCAGCATGGGTGCTATTCTAGGATACTCTTCCCCTGCCGGGTCCCAGCTCAAGGGGCCAGACTTGCCACCAAACGTGACATTAAATGTCAGTAACATTGACTGTCCCTTGATCCACGACGAACCGCTAACTGACAACCAAATCTCATGGTTCGGCTCGACGGTCAACATTGGGGCGTTGATCGGGGCGCCGCTAGGAGGAGTTTGCATTAATCTCATCGGCAGACGCACCACCATGGTCGCTACCATTGCTCCATTCCTACTTGGCTGGTTTCTTATTGGTGAGATAATCTTAGTTTTTTTTGTCGTGTTTTGTTCTATATACTTGATGGTTAACTTTTTATCCACCTACACATTGTGTGTGTCTGCTTGTCGAGCAAACTTACTCTCGGCCGAGTTGAAACTCAGCAGTTGTCAATAAAATCTTATATTACGAATCAGAAATAGGATTTGTATGGTTCGGTAACATAATAACCACGAAGCTGTTTCAATATCACTAAGGAAATTATGTTTGTTTACTTTAGTTTTGTTTACTAAATAGATCGTTTCATTTTGAAGACCGGCGACATAATTTCTGTGATGACTTGAGCGGCATATGGTTGAAATATTCCACGATATCTATAAATTTATTTCATTTTTATACCCTGTATTGTGGTTCACAGAATTCGCCAACAACTTCGCGATGCTGGTGGCGGGCCGAATTTTCTGCGGGATTTGTTGTGGCCTCGTATCGCTGTCCGTCCCCACCTACATCGGCGAGATCGCCTCCCCCGACATCAGAGGACTACTAGGTCGGTCTTGTGCTTTAATCATTTATAAATTTCGAAAAAATTGTGAAACTTACTTTTAAAAAACATAATATAGGTGTTTATTTTATTTGACTACAGCTTAGTTACTGTCAGACAATGTTACGTACTATAAATGACCCAATCATAATTACTGATGATAATCTCCGCTGCCAGGAACGGGCTTCCAGCTAATGGTAGGCCGAATAATAATTATAAATAATAAATTGATTTAATTAATCTAATAAATAATCAATTATAATTAAGTTTTAGTATTAATTGAATTCCCATGTCAGGAACGGGCTTCCAGCTGATGGTGGTGATAGGAATCCTGTACGTGTATTCCCTGGGGGCGGGGCTGTGCTGGCAGTGGATAGCGCTGCTCTGCCTCATCCCTGCGGTCGTCTTCTGCGTGGCTATGTTCTTCAGCAAGGAGTCTCCTGTGTTCCTCCTGTCCAAGAACAAGTCCCAGGAGGCCAAAGAAGCCCTCCAGTTCTTCAGAGGTAAGAGCTGAAGGCCAAGAAAAAGTCCCAGCAGGACAGGGAAGCCCTGCAGTTCTTCAGAGGTGAGAGCTGAAGGCCAAGAAAAAGTCCCAGCAGGACAGGGAAGCCCTGCAGTTCTTCAGAGGTGAGAGCTGAAGGCCAAGAAAAAGTCCCAGCAGGACAGGGAAGCCCTGCAGTTCTTCAGAGGTGAGAGCTGAAGGCCAAGAACAAGTCTCAGGAGGCCAGAGAAGCCCTGCAGTTTCTTCGCTCTGGTGTGTAATATTTGGTGGGACTAATAGTTGGGGTCTTCCTTGAATAACAGCTCGTGTTAATATCGACACTTACCAGTTTTAAATTTGACTGCTAAACAAAGCTGGTACTATTCCCTCAGTTCGCTCTGTTCACTGTCATACCATGAATGTACCATAAACTCAATAAATTTTGTATCAGGTTCGTTTCCAATAAACGAATTGTTCCGTTTATTGTTCCGTTTCGCTTTTACTCTCGTCAAAACATCCTAGGCTGATAATCATATTCCTTAGTGTTGGCCTGCCAGCAAACTTATTGACTAGCGAATATATAATTGGAAGTCTGGGGCCGTACCATCAGAACTTGCTGTAGTATATGTAGAGTTATCAGTAATATAAGTGTGTCTATAATTTGTAAGTAGGTCTGTGATTGGTGGGTTTGGCTTGAAAAGCGTTTACTGATGGAGTACCAACAGCGACAATTTTCTTGCGAAGGGGAACTTGCTTGGTGTGTTATTAATTTAACTTGTTTTATTGCAAGTTTTTACAATAATTGTGAAATGTAGCAGGATGACGTAGGTATGTTTTATTGATAGTTGAAGTAAAAAACACTTTTCACATGATAACCATTCACTCCCAAATGTTTTTTGACCAAAATGATTTTAATCTCATCGTTTTCTTATTGATTTTATCTCAACTATTGTCTATTTACAGGAGAACACTACAACATTGAGCCTGAGCTGCAGCAGCTGACGCAATCCATCGAAGAAGCTCAGCGCAACAAAGCATCTTTCCGGGACCTGAAAACTCCGTACATATTAAAGCCGCTGCTCATATCCCTGGCACTTATGTTCTTCCAGCAGACTTCTGGCATCAACGCGATCTTGTTCAACCTCAACGAGATATTTAAGGTCTGTAGTTCCCTCTTGACGATACGTGATATCTGGTCTGTAGTTCCCTCTGTTAAGGTCTGTAGTTCCCTCTTGACGATACTTATTGATATAATAATAGTCCAAAGAGAAGAATTTAAGAATATTTAGATATTTAAGCTAGGTCCCTTTTTGACGATATTTATTTATAATATAGATATTTAGGAATATTGTACATATTTGAGGTTGGTAGACGTCATTATGGCATTGACGCTTTTATCCTGTTGATTCATTTAATGTTTACTCCAAATATGCCTCCTTGTTAATAAGTTAATTATGTTATTATATGATTTTTTGCTATAAAGTTTCATGTTTTGGTCATGAACTCATAATTGGTCACTCATAATTTTTCTTCAAACATCTATCATCATTATTGATATAATAATACGTCATAATCCAATTGATGAAATGCTGATTACCTACATGATTAAATTACTGACGACTCCATATTGATATGACATATTACGTTGAACTGATATTGATTTTGCTACGTTAATTTGGTTGATGTTGGTGTTGCTTTGTTGATGTTTATTTTGGCTTAGATGTTGATTTTAATATTAATATTTCTGTTTAAATTTTTTTATTTTGCCGTAAAATGTTGAAGATGTTGATTTATGTTTATGCACGTTTTGATGTTTTGATGTTAAAGTTTGTTTTCATTTTGTTAAAACATGACGTACATGTTGATGTTGTTGATATTGGCAGAGCGCGCACGTTGAACTGGGGGAGGACGCGTCGTCCATCATCATCGCGGCCGTGCAGGTGGTGGCCACGTGTCTGGGCGCAGTGCTGATGGACAGAGCTGGCCGCAAACTGCTCCTCATACTGTCCGCCGGTGCCATGTGTATCTCCCTAGGTCAGTGGGCCGTGTGGTCCTATGTGGCCGTGTGGTCCAGTGTGCCATGTGGCCGTGTTGTCCAGTATGCCATGTGTATCTCCCTAGGTCAGTGTGCCGTGTGGTCCAGTAGGTATATGTCATGTGTGCCTTGTAGGTACGTAAGTTGTGTGCCATGTGTCCCTTGCTGGACAGTATAGTATATCATATTTGTCTCTCGGTCAATGTAACAATCAAATAATTAGGTTAAAAATTAAATATTTAAATGAAATTTTCAAGTAAATTTTATTTCTTCTCATTCAATATGCGTCATCGATGCTTGGTATTCGTACCTAAAACCCTGTAAAGAGCGTTACCATTAGTTGAAAAATACTTACCTCTGTTAGAAATGTTGATGTTGTTTACGGGCATGCAAAGTGTAATGTTTTAGCCTTTTTGGGGCAGGTTTATCGCCCCTATAGCTTGAGAAATGCTGTTCTGTAATGTTTGTTAATCCTAGTCGTCACCTACATTGTTGTCACATTGTTATTATTGTACGCTAGAGGAACAGGCGTTGTGCAAGATGTACCAATCCTGCGGCATTACAAGCTTAATGCTAAACCATAACTTCCTCCGTCGGTTAAAACAAATTTCAGTTCGATTATCAATATCTTTCCATTTTTCTCTAACAAAGTACAAATGTAATTAACTATTTATTTGGCACAACATTCAGTTCGGTGATAAAGCAAAGAATTGTGATTTTTCTTTCAGCAAGGAAAAATAATTGATTATTTATTTGCATTTCAGTTGGAATGGGCGCGTATTTCTTCGTGTCTGAACAAGATCTTGAGAACCACACCACCAACGCTGACAGTCTGGGCTGGCTGCCCCTCTTATCCATGATCATCTTCATCACCTTCTTCAGCATCGGCTTCGGTCCCATCCCCTGGCTCATGATGGGTCCGTTATGAAGCTTATTGTGATATTCTCACTTTACTTTCTTTTACAACTTATATTTTGCTAGTATTATAGCCTCTTGTTCTACTTCTTTTACAACTTTTATTTTGCTAGTATTATAGCCTCTGATTCTACTTCTTTTGTAGTTACAAATCATATTCTGCAAGTATTATAGCCCCGGATTCTAACCCATTCTCTGGCTCATGATGGGTCAGTTATGAAGCTTATTGTGATATTTTTACTTTACCTTCTTTTACAAATTATATTTTGCTAGTATTATAGCCTTGGATTCTACCTCTTTTACAAATTATAGTTTGCAAGTATTATAGCCTCTGATTCTACTTCTTTTACAAATTATATTTTGCAAGTATTATAGCCTTGGATTCTACCTCTTTTACAAATTATATTTTGCAAGTATTATAGACTCGGATTCTACTTCTTTTACAAATTATATTTTGCAAGTATTATACTAGTCTCGTATTCAGATCCCTCCTCTGGCTCATGATGGTTCAGTTTTGAAGCTTGGGGCAACATTTTAACTTAACCATTACTTTCTTACTCGCATGATTATTAAGGACTTGAACAATTAACATATCTTTGGATTTTAGTCTATCATAGGTTTTTTAATTTGTCATTTTATGTCAGAGGGTATAATGACATTATGTTTTTAGCCGGTGCTGGGCATGGCTTTGTTGAACGGAAGGCAGCGTTAAAATTTATACTTCAACTTACATTAACTATTTAGTGAACGTAAATTTAGATCAACGCCATATAAGAATATGGTGCATATTGTAGTATCATGTGTCCACTCACATTAATTGAATGAATCATGTGTATTAGTTGTATTGAAATATCAATAACTTAATTACGGTATTAGTTTTAATGGAATGAAAGGAATGATTGTTGTTACAGGTGAATCACTACATTAATTATTAATTTTAATAGAATGAAAGGAATTATTGTTGTCACAGGTGAATCAATAACCTAATTATTATTTTAACAGAATAAAAGTACGTAATGATTGTTGTTACAGGTGAATCAATAAGTTAATTATTAATTGTAATGGAATAAAAGGAATGATTGTTGTTACAGGCGAGCTGTTCTCAGCGGAGGTACGGGAGCTGGCCAGCACCCTGGCCACCCTCACCAACTGGCTGCTCTCCTTCATCGTCACGCTCGTCTTCCAGCCCCTCATCGTCAGTCTTATTAATAAGAATAATTAATAAATAATTATAATGAATTCATCATAATAATAATTAATAAATAATTTTAATAAATTACCAGCCCCTCATCGTCAGTCTTATTAATAAGAATAATTTATGTAAAATTTTAATAAATTGATCATGACAATTAATAAATTATTATAATAAATTGATTATAATTAATAATTGTACCGCTATAGTACATCTTATATATATATTGATAAGTATATGTTCTATTTCAAATACATTTTTATAAAAATGTCATTAAATACGTTATCTTGCAGTGTAATATATTAGAAATATTTTTTATAATAAATTGATGCATGCGTTTGGTAGAACCTCTGATAAATAGCATTACCCAGCGAGAGATTACATTAGTTCACTGGGTAAATTAATTACTAGTTGTTCACTGCTCAACTAACGCATGTTTAATAACCCATAATTCTTGTCATCTCTATAATATTATATGTTTCAGTGTGAAAAATATAAAATTAGTACAATATACAATAAATATACTTATATGTTAATTGGTTTTCCAGGACGCAATTAACAACTCGGGCGTTTACTGGCTGTTCGCCATCTTCTGCGCCTGCAGTTTTGTCTTCTCGCTGCTTGTCGTGAAGGAAACCAAGGGCAAAACTATCGAGGAAATCACCTTCATGTTCGGAGGACCACCCCCCAACGCAGGGGGAAATGTTGCCCCCAGCATCCCTGTTGTTGTTGTTGTTAATGCTGCCCCAAACGTCTCCCCACCGTCTGGGGAAGACGAGAGGAAGCGTTCTACAGCCTCATCGTCGTCATCGTCGGCGTCCGAGGGCGCGGATAACAAAGGCTTTGTTGCGTAAAGGGGACGGCGCCTGATGTTGTGAACTTGTTATAGATTCTTGAACATTCCAGTTAATGGAGATATGGTGGAAAATGGTATTTTTTAGGGAGGTGATAGATTCTTGAATATTCCAGTTAAGGAGGATATGGTGGAATGGAAGACTTTTGTGAACTTGAGATAGATTCTTGAATATGCCAGTTAAAGGGGATATGGTGGAATGAAAGATTTTTGTGAACTTGTGATAGGTTTTTGAATATTCCAGTTACGGAGGAAATGGTGGAAAATGTCTTTAACTTTTGACGAGGGTAGGAGGATATATTTTGAGGAGGGTACGGGGAGCAGAGGGATGACTTTCAACACTGGTAGATAGAACAGAAGGATATATTTTCGTGGTGATAAAGTAGCTGGGGAATATCATTGATAGACTGTAGGTAGAAAAGGTTATTCTGAATATGAAATGACTGTGTGATATTTTTTTAAACTGGGTACATTGAAAAAATTATATTTTTTGTAACCTAAGTAGGGAGGACAGGTTGATACTTTTTTAAAATTGGTAGGTAAATTAAGATATTTTGAACTTGCTTGGACTGATTATTAGGATATTATTAACCATTTAAGGTAGAATAAGTTAATACTATTTATCCAGTGTACGTATTACTAGATGAAATTTTGTACTTTATCAATTAGGACAACACATTTTTGCAGATTAATTGGCAGCTTAGCTGTGCCGTTTCTACTTTTGATTGGGTAGGAGGCAGTAGAAATTTTGCAGTGCAATGTAGCATTTCTGGGTAGAAAACTGCGTTACGAACGTAGAGATGGTATTGTGTTTCAACGCTTCATCCAGTATTTTGAGTTTTGTACTATTTATATCTACCGATTTCCGTAAATGTTACACGTATGGATGCATAGTTTTATTTAAGTGTAAACTGATTCCATTATTTTTTTAACGTCTCGAGATTATTACTGAGAGGAAGTTTTATTGTATGGGAAAGAAAAATCTAAACAGTGAGTCCATTAAACAAGTCATATTATTGCTGAATTGTTAGTAATTAATAATATAAAAATATTATTTATCAAATTATTTACTACCGCTAATTTTAATTAGCATAGAAGAAGTGGTTGTTGTAATATCCAACATACGCTTTTGTCAACGTTTGCATTAATGGTCTTTCGTTACGTTATGTTTATGTGTTGTTTATTTATAGATTATACATTATGCAATGTATATGGTGACGTTTTATGCAAATATACAATTACGTCGTTGACATCACAAGATAGTGCCTTATATTCTAGTATGGAAGCAGTTGTTACGCTGCTTGTCAGCTATTCGTTGTTCGCATCAAGATCAACTGTTTCGGTCTGTGACGCGCACTTAGAATAAAAGTTTAGTATTCGTCTTTTGTTCCTTTTAACATATCTTCCTGCGCTTAACTATCTCTTCCAAAGATCAACTATCTCTTCCTAAGCTCAACTATCTTCCTGAGCTTAACTATCTCTTCCTGAGCTTAACTATCTCTTCCTGAGCTCAACTATCTTTTCCTGAGCTTAACTATCTCTTCCTGAGCTTAACTATCTCTTCCTGAGCTCAACTCTCTCTTCCTGAGNATCCCTTCCTGAGCATTTAATCATATTCCGTCAGTTTCCGAAAGGGTATTTTGGACTGTTATTTACGGAGGCGAAAAAAATTAGTTGCTGGGTACAACCAAGAGTAGCCGACAAACATTATAGGGAATGTGGTGTCCCAAGTATCGTAATATCACAGCATTTCATCTTTTACAGCAAGGTTTTTTTGCAGACATCATCAAATGATAATCTGAAGCTTTAGGATGATGGTCTCGTATGCCCAAGATGCACACTCTTCGTCAAACTGAGCACCAGATCAAATTCAGCATTCAAATCACCAATACTGAATTCGTAAAATTTTTTAAGCTACCGTATTGATCTTGAAATTTAGTGCCCGATCCCAACCAAATTACATAAGAATAAGGTCGAATACATGTTCTACAACAGAAATTTTACCTTAATTAATTAGATGTAAAGAAACTGGGGCAAATGTATGATCTACTAACAACTATGGTAATTTCACGTTGTATTCGACGAATATTCGCATCTGTTCTTCATAAAACATACGCTTGAAAATGAATGATGGAAGTTATCATTTTCTAATTTGGAGCTACGCGTTCCGTTAATTAACAAACCTCGTTTGTAATCTTACAACGTGAGTAAGCGTTAATTCATCTTTGTTAGGTCTAAAATTTCTAATATAAGTTCCATGTTCCCCCAAAGTATGAGCATGCCTTACAATTATGTTCAATTTTTGTTGTCTTATTACAAAAATTGAACAATCGTTTATCATTCAACTCTTGCCCCATGGTGCTAATTCTAACACAAAGTAATTCACAAAAACCTACACAAATTTTTGAGCTTTCAATGATAAAATTTTTATTTAAATTGGAGAAGGCACAGACAAACGTTTTCCGTGAGTTATTCCAAATTTAATGACCACTCCAGGACTGTGAAAAAACTCCTACTTTTGCTGTATGAGCCACAATATATTGCACAATTTTGTCAAGCGTAAGTTGTCTTTGGTCAAATAATTCATTTTAAACAACCTAGGCTCAAAACAAGTTAATCGGAGGTGGGTTATCGTAATCTATGAATAAGTAGCAATAAAAATATTAGCATCGCGAGGAGAAGAGAAAGACTTCAGTTCAACTTTCTGGGAGCATTTGGATACAAAAGTATGGAATATTGCGAAAATGTATGTAGTGTGAAAACACGTAATTTTTGTTTTTAGCTCTGCAAATTGGCTGGAGTTACTGTCATCACAGTTCCTGTCATCAAAGTTTTTAAATTAAGATTCGAAAGGTACAATGATTGATGAGTAGTTAGTGATTCAGTTGCAACACGCGTGACTTATAAGTAAAAAATATGTCACGAAAATTAGTAATTTACTTGTCCTCGATATTATTAATTTTTGTTAATATCGTTATCATCCGCTCATTTACATCTACAGTTGCATGCAACGTGATGAGCAAAATATATAGTCGTATGGTTGTATGATGGCTAATAATTCACGAAAATACAAAAGAAATTTTTTGTAACCAATGAAACATCTTTGGCATATGTACGGTTTATTTTTTGAGCTATTTTAATTATTTACCGACAGTTTGATTACCATTATTTGACTAGAATTATTTTTTTATTGTGAATTTGAGAAACATTCAAAGACTTTTAACCTATGAGAAGAATCCCATTATTAAATTTATTCTAACACCACCTCATGTTGATGTTTAGGTTTATTCGTCTGTCATCCCTGTTGACTGTTGAGACTGGAAGTTTCATGTGTTTATAGACTACTGCTGCCACCTGGATGCGCCTGAAAGAACTCTTGACACGTCTGCGAACAGCATTTTCTTTTGCTGTGCAGTGTCGCTCCGGCTTCGTGAAAACTCCCTAAATTAGGGTGATTTTGGTGACACGCTCTACCTGTTTATTCAAATATTTTTGCATAAATAATGACATTTTCTAATTTATTCATGAATAAAATAAAATATTTTCAGCTTTCCCATGATTAAATGACGTTTCGTAGTTATTGGATATACGGTCTGCAGGAAAAGTTACATATTTTCTTCACGTAATTTTATAGAACTAGATTGAAAGTTTTTTGATGAAAGTTATTTCATGCAGTCACTTTAATCAGGTTTTCTTGCACTTTTATGCTGACTTGTTATTTGATATATGAATATAAATTGTATTTAGGGTAAGTGTTTTGTTACCCTAAGGACTCTCGTAATGTTTGTCAGAAGCAGCTAAGCGGTGCCGTTTGGTGGTGGACCAGTCCGCGAGTTTTCGTGGATTGATTGTTTAAATCCTGTTTGATAATTCTATTAATATCTATATTTTAAATTAACGAATCACCAAAATGGGATGTAAGTATTTGCCAATTCTTTTATTAAAATGTTGTAAATTAGGTGCAATATGATTTAAAGCATGTTTGTTGAATAATTCGACTGTTGATGCAGATTGCCAGTCAATGAAATTGTCCTAGCAGCGCTTGTGGTGCCTGGCGGGTGGCGCCAGCCTTCAAGAAGTACAACTTATTTTATTGAAAAAATCGAATCACAGTTTTATAGCAAAATTGAAACAAGTTCATTTTAAATTATGTTAAAATCAAACTCTAAATACCCTTGGGGCTTGGCCTAGTTCTGTTCTGAACTTCTGGACTTCTGGTCACCACGCAGTTGCATGGTCTTTATAATTTCATTGCCAACTGGAGCAAAATATATATGTTATTCAAGCAACAACTTAAGGTATTCTGCCATTTTTGAAGCTGTAAAATTCTTGCTAGAAAAATAATCTCCAATGTAGTATGTCCCATCTAAAAGTTGATAAAACTGCATAAGACAAGTGGGCAACAAGATTCAAATGTATAAAAAATTTGGTCACTTTAGAGCCTCACGATTTCATTCATAAGTTGGAAAATTTCAATCTAGATTACCAGAGGTGCAATGCAAGTAAAGGCAATTTCTGCTTAATTTTAATAAGGAATTTATAAGCAAAGAAAATGCCAAGAAAAATTCACCATATTGATATTGATTATTGAAAGCATTTTGGAGTTCACCTCCATTGTTGATTCAATTATCTAGAAAATGAAAACAATCATTATTATTCTAAATCCAAAGTCATAGGCTTACATTAAAAACTAAAATTGACATATTAAAGACAAATCAACCTTAAATCTAAAACAAGCATGTCTGGAACACAGTCATATGAGACACAAAAAGATTAATCCCTAAAAAAACTAAATAATAAAAGACTAGCAATTCACTATTTCAAGAGTATATGAACTGTTGTGCATTATTGAGACACATCTTTGATTTTATAATTATTTGTTAACTTGCAATAGCTATAAGCAGACTGATAATATAATATCTTACTTTAAAGTTGAGTAAAATGATTACCTTTGTCATTGTCTACTAGTTTGTACTTTGTAGTTTTATTTCATCCATGTTGGTTTAAATAAATGTTGAACTTATACTACTGAGCAGATTGTGTGATGTAGTACAATTATTATCACAATCGTACAATAGTATGATTGTGATAGTATAGTACAATTTTGTGTTGCCAAGAATAGATAGTGTTTTTAGGCTTGATGTGTTGCTGCTGGCATTGTTTAAAATTTTTTGCTAAGACTACATAACCATCTAGGTATCTTGTCATAAATTGGTTGCAAATAAGCATTCACAGGGAAATGTATTGACAAGATCTTCTGAATATTAATTTTGAAGCTGATGTTTGCCAAATATCTTTGGATATTCAACTACTCCCTGCACCCTCTAGATTGAAACTTTCCTGCTTTTGAATAAAATATTGCAGCTCTAGAATGACCAATTTTCCATACATTTGGAATTGGAACTCAATGGCCCAATTGCTCACTTTTATTAACAAGTAGATTGGAGATTATTCATCTATTGGGAATTTCATGTCTCCAAAAATGGCAGGAAAGCTGTAGATGCAGCTCGAAAGGTAAATGTATTCCATGCCTTTGTACCTTGGCTGACTTCAATAATGCTTAGCAATTGCTCATAAGCATAATGTTTCACATCCATGAACCAAAGTGGAAGGGCAGAGTCTGTAGCTGCAAACAGTCCTCTTAAAAGGCCAGTCATGCCTCATCAACTGAAAATTTAAGATCCTGAACAGGCGTATTAAAGTTGTAGATTATTATACGATTGTTTGATAAATAAAGGATTTGTACAGATTTGCTAGAAGTTCTTGACCATTCAGGTGAAATTGCTAATTTAAACTGTTCAAGGGATTTAATAAAGCCACAGATTTGAATATCATCTCAATTTAGTAAAAACAAGAATTCTCTTTTCTTAGCTGTGACCTTGAAGTAACTAAAAATATATAAATCATTTTTCTGTGGTGTTTCTAACTATCCATCACTGCTACTGTGACTGAATGAGCACCCAAACAATGTGCAAGAAGCAGTTGCCTCCAATTCTTGAGACAAAAGCCAACCATAAATTAGACAAAAACACACATGTCTGCAGTTAATTCCACCCTAAAGAGTGCCTAATTGCTTTCAGAAAAGACAAGAAATGGATTATATTTCAGCTTACCATAAATCCTCAACATTACAATTTTTGCAAGATTCGTGGGCATAATTACCTTTCTTTTAAATAAACCTATTTTCAAGTATTTAAATGTAAAATTTTAATATATATTCAATCCTATTATGAATTTAAATACTGGACAAATTTGATTTATTTTATTGCAAAGATTACCTGGATGAAATGGTTGGATAATTTATTAGAGAAACAGCAACTTGAATCAATTTTATATTTGTGATCTATGCAGTAATTCTCAAGCTTTCTATTTTTTTTGTAATTTAGTTATAAATATTTTAGTCTAATTAAGAATGTCTAGTCACGCTTATCTCATTTTTTCAGTCAAGTTCCTGGAAATGATCAGGCCTTTCTGTGCCGTCCTGCCGGAAATACAGAAGCCTGAACGCAAAATTCAGTTCAAAGAGAAGGTTTTATGGACTGCTATTACATTGTTCATCTTCCTGGTTTGTTGTCAGGTATGTGAAAGCTAATTGTAGTGTATGTATTACACTAGTGTATGTATTACACTAGTGTATGTATTATACATTAGGTTCTGAAGTTATTTCTTTCAACTCTCGTGTTTATTTCAGATGTCCCTCCTTTTGGTCTTTCTCAATTAAATTTGAGTTTTTATGTGCAAATTGAGTTTATCTCCTGATAGACAATGATTTAAATTTTGAATGCAATATTAATTTTTTTTAACAAACCTTGTGTTTATTCTGAAGTATGGTAAATATTTTCCAGATTCCCTTGTTTGGGATCATGTCATCAGACTCAGCAGATCCCTTCTATTGGATTCGTGTGATTCTGGCCAGTAACAGAGGCACACTCATGGAGCTAGGCATCTCTCCTGTGGTCACATCATCTCTCATCATGCAGCTTCTTGCAGGAGCCAAGCTCTTGGACGTAAGTGCTTGCTGCTCTTAGCTGGGGCACAAGGCTGAAGTCATACACGAGGGCTTGCAACTCCAGGCTGGACAAAATCGTCTATATATTATTTATATATAAGCATTATGTCCAATTTCATTAATAAGACTAGCATGCACTGGTAATACAAAAAGCATGCTATCAAACTGCCCTTGAATAATGGAAATATGAATGTATTGCAAAATTATAACCCACCCACCCAGCATGTGGGTTGACTTGGAATCTCGATTGTGTGAAGACTTGTTGAAACTTTTTTAGTTAAGAGCCCTTAAAAGTCCTGTGAGTTGTTGATATTTACTTTGAATTTATGCATGTCTTTATTACGCCATGGAAAAGATTTTCTTCTGCATCATTAAATTAATAATTATATAGGCACTGTTATAATGCAACTACATTCAGATACTTCATTTTAATATTCATTTCTTCCTTAAAGGTTGGTGATTCTCCCAAAGAACGTGCTTTGTTCAACGGTGCTCAGAAATTATTTGGTCTTGTGATCACTCTGGGCCAAGCGATCGTGTACGTCATGACGGGAATGTATGGAGAACCTGCTGAGCTTGGCGCTGGCATCTGCCTGCTTATTATCATCCAGCTTTTTGTTTCCGGCCTCATTGTCTTGCTGCTTGATGAACTTCTCCAGAAGGTTTGTTAATAGCTGTGTTACAAACTTTAGTACCGGTAACACTGTTACAAACTTTAGTTTTCAAGTTGTATCTCAACTTAACATTGTTTTCATAACTAGGGAGGTCACAGGTATCATGTCGATATTACGCTTTGTTGGCTGATCAAATATCACTGATTTTGTCTCGATTAAAAACAAGGCTGATGCCAGGTTTTTGGTTCACTTATTCTTGTTGTGTACCAGATCATTTTGTCCAGGTATTTTTCATTACTTTCCAGCTTACTTCTCCAAGTTTCGAGTTGCAAGCTACGTTCTCATAATTCCACATCAACTAAATCCATTCCACTGGCAGAAATTTTTCTTACTTCCAACGAAATAGTTGAATGACTTCAGGCCATAAGGCTCCTGTCTTGGGTCCGGCATTGCTAACAATAAACTAAATTCTTCCCATAGGGCTACGGTCTCGGTTCGGGCATCTCACTCTTCATCGCGACCAATATCTGCGAGACGATCGTGTGGAAGGCGTTCTCTCCTGCCACCGTCAACACTGGGCGCGGCACTGAGTTCGAGGGCGCGCTCATTGCGCTCTTCCATTTGCTGGCTACACGTCAAGATAAGGTGACTTTTGCTCTTATTAAACTTATAGTAAAGTTACGTGTAGAATATTCCGTGTAGTTATGGTGTCTTGCTTCTATAGAACTTGTAGTGGAATTCTGTATAGATAAGCTGTTTCTGGCTATCATTGAACTTGTAGTGAAATTAATGGTAGAATATAACGCGTAAACAATGCGACTTTTGCCCTTGAACTTTTACGTCACTGGGGCGTCCAGCTCCAAGCAGCTGTCAGCACCGGCATCAGGAGACGCTGCTGGCGACGCTGACGTCACTGGGGCGTCCAGCTCCAAGCAGCGCCCGAGGCGCGCGTCTTCCCAGCGTGGATGCCGCCCGTGCTTGGAGCTGGACGCCCCAGTGACGTCAGTGACGTTTGGTTCATGCACCAATACCTAAGAAAATTCTCATCGATCTCCTTCGACTCTGCACTTCTGAATCCCCTTTTCGGGCTCCTGACAACAAAATTTACTGACAAACCAACGGCGTAGCCATGGGCAGTCCCCTTGGTCCTACTTTTGCTGAATACTATATGTGCGAAATCGAAAATCGTCTAACAAGCACGACCTTAAGCCGCCGACTAACATGCCATCTACAATCTGGAGGACCCAAGAACCACATGCGGGAAGCTCACAATGAGACCATCACCCGAGCGACTTTGGAGGCCTGCACCAGCATAGTTATGCGGTGCCCCGACCCATCGAGATTGACGATAGCTGAGGCCCTCATTATCAAGAGCGAGTCTCCGGCTATCAACCTCCAAACTACTGGATTCGTCCGGACGCTGAAATTATTTTCGGAGTAATTTTTAAGCTAATATTTCGTATTGTATCCATTTTACCTTTGATATGTACTTCTGTCATTTCAAATTCAATTTCAGATGTTGTAAAACCTTCACCAGCTTGATAATGAAAATTGTATTTTCGAAACGTCGCTATCTATTAAAATGTCATTCGGAAACCTGCTTTTCGATCTCCCGGCTCCAGCTAGAAATTTGGTTCGACTGATTGAAAAGACGAACAAGAAGATTGTAAATAAAAAGCATGCTCTGGTCTTCAATCAAACTTGCATATATATATATATGTACTTACATTGAAATTAGAATTTTCCGTAATGGGGACGTCCTGTTATGTGTTTATTTATTATATTGCGAGTTCATAATGCAATCATATCCATAGTTAGAATCAATAATGCAATTGATATTGTTGAAGTTTGTTTCTGTCTTAGGTGCTCGAGAAGTATGATAAAAACGATAAATCGAGTCAATTTATTCATTTCTCATTTTCAGGTGCGAGCTCTGCGTGAAGCTTTCTACCGTCAAAACTTGCCTAACCTCACCAATCTTTTGGCCACTGTGCTTATATTCGGCATCGTGATATACTTCCAAGGCTTCCGTGTTGACCTACCCATCAAGTCTGCTCGCTACAGAGGCCAGTATTCCTCGTACCCCATCAAGCTCTTCTACACGTCCAACATCCCTATCATCCTCCAGTCTGCACTCGTCTCGAATCTCTACATCCTGTCACAGGTGTGACTGCGTACTGGTAGAGCAGATTTGTTATAAGAACCGAGACTTTTTTTGAGACTCAAGGTTTTGAGATCTATGGGTAGATAAGTAAAGTATCATAGATACCAGCATTATCATACAGACGTTGAACAAAATTTTGTAGGTACTAGATTAGAGAACTTGAAATTCACTGATTTCTACAAAATCTCCTGCTTGCTACAATTTGGGAGAGGTTATTTTAGACCGGTAGCCTTTGGTTCATGCTGTTATCACGGTTATTCTTTTTGATGAACGGTATTTAATTACACTTGAATTAGTCTGTTCCTCAGAACATAAGCTTGGGATTTTTAATTTGGCGTAGTATACGTATTTTTTGCGCTCAAGCAACTGCTTTAGTTTTACATAGCAATTTGCTGTCTTCATTTCTCTTCACCATTTCCGAGCAAAAGCCTTGATTCACGATTGTTAATGAAAATATACAGAATTGATCTTTTGATATGGATTAAAAAGAAGTTGAAAGGCAATTCCAGTGCAAGTGCATAAAATACTAGAGTTTACAGCCTACTAAATTATTTTTTCTCAATCCGCAGATTCTGGATGTGAAATTTCACGGTAATTTCCTCGTGAGTTTGTTGGGCGTATGGGCTGACCATGGACAAGGTGGTCCAGGACGCGCCTCTTACCCTATAGGAGGTCTCTGCTATTACATGTCTCCTCCCGAGAGTCTGGGACACATCGTCGAGAACCCCTTCCATGCCGTGGTTTACGTCATCTTCATGCTGGGGTCGTGCGCCTTCTTCTCCAAGACCTGGATTGATGTCTCGGGATCGTCTGCCAAGGATGTAAGTTGAATATTATATCATTTCAACGGATCGGTTCATAATATTGCATTACTAGAATGTCTCATTATTTTTGCTTTTCAGAGACTAATTTTATGTTCCATGAATTTCACGATGCACATTTCGATGTATGAAGTGCAGTTTACAACAGCATCAGTACCATGCACTTACTTGAATTGGCTTGTGCTCTTCCCAAATTGATATTCGTGTCTCATTGCTGTTAAAATGTTGAAAGACCCACCTTCTTTGTTTGTGTTGACAGTGCTTAAAACCTTAGTTTTATTCATGTAGGTGGCAAAGCAGCTGAAGGAGCAGCAGATGGTGATGCGAGGTCACCGCGAGAAGTCCATGATCCACGAGCTGAACCGCTACATCCCCACGGCCGCGGCCTTCGGTGGCCTCTGCATCGGCGCCTTGTCCGTGCTGGCTGACTTCATGGGTGCCATCGGCTCCGGCACTGGTGAGGATACCTGACGCTTTACTGTTGATGGATATTTAATTTAAATAAATTACTATTGGTCTACTGGTGAAGACACCAGACACTTGTAATATTTTATTTTTAATGACTAGATACATTTTTAGGCTGCTGACGTTAAGTTACGTTACTCGCGTTAAAGTTTAAACCATTATGTACAAAAGGCAGTGATGAATGCAAATCGCATGAGTGGTAAAAAAGCATTGAGGTTGAAATTTTTATGAATATAATTATGGCTAGCGGAATTGTTAGCTCAATTCCTAAAGCTGATAACCTAGACACATGTTTTGTTGTATGTTATGCCGATCTCGTGGATGGCATCTCATTTCGTGACGCCTAAAGTTGCTGTTTTTTATAACAAGTCTTTTATCTCATGAATAATGCTTTTTTAATTTGTTTTTATTAATATTTTGTCTGCTGGTGCACATCATAGAACTACGAAAAGAATTATTCGTAATTAATGGCCACTTTTAATTCTTTGATCCAGAATTAGAAGAATAATTGAATTGAATTATCCCGCGGATTCCAACATGAATCACCTTAATGCTTCTTTTCCTCCTCTGCCTCTCAAATATTCAGTAAATTTCTATTTTTTATGTATAATGTATTTTCTGGACTTGTGAAATGTTTTCCTTTGCCAGGTATCTTGCTTGCCGTCACGATCATCTATCAGTACTTCGAAATCTTCGTGAAGGAGCAGAGCGAAGTCGGTGGAGGCATGAGCACACTACTCTTTTAGTGCCACTAGCGCCGTTATTTCTGGTCTTAGGTTGTGGACATTTGAGCTTAATCTCCTGTGTTTTATTGGAGGATAAGCAGCGCTTACTATTGTTCATACCTTACTTATTGGTCTGTGCTCCTGTTTAAGCTCAGTTTTGGAAGATATCAGTTTTTCTTTTTAGATTTGAATTTTTTGCTATCTGTGAGCATGTGACCTTCGGCTGCTTGTTCCATACAAAACTATGATTGTTGGTCAAAATGTATAATTCTGAATAACATGCATGTTTGAGACTATTTCATGATCTTCCTTATGTTTTAATGCATTGCTTACTGCTCTGCATTGGTGTTTTGGTTCTAGAACATCAACTTTACTGTTTTGTTGAGAAGATGGTTGTATTTTTTCGTGGAAAGTGGACTGATCCTCGCCTCTCTTGGTTTTTCACTGTGGTGCATTTCTCATTCGCGAGAAAACTTGAGTGCAGACTCGTATTGAGTCTGTTGTGAACTGCGAGCAAACAAGTGTTCAATTTTTGCTGAAAATGCGTCTCAAAATTTTTTTTATTTTTATATTATTTATTTTTTTAATAGAGATCGCATAAGTTTCATTAAAGTTTCGGCCTAGTTCACATTTTTGAATGCAAGTTTGTGATGTATTTGTTCCCCGAGTTTGACCGTTAAGTTTATCTGACGAGTTGTTAAATTTTTTTTTCAGCAAACTGCATCACTGGTGAATTTATTGATTGCCTTCACACTGGGAGTCATATCAGTAAATGGACCCAATGTTATTTTTACGAATGCCGGTATAAATCTTCCATTTGAGTGTTTACCTGTGAATGGTTGGCGTCAGAACTTGAGCTGTTGTTGGGCAAGGCAAAAGGTAATCCTTATAAGTGCCCTGTAATTTCACAACTTTCTCATCACGGTCGACGAAAAACCTCGGTTTGAATTGGTTTTGATCATTTCTTTGTGCTTTCAGGTCCAGCGCTGACATGATCAATTAATGACGTGTCATCGTTTGTCGTGATGACGGGTTATCATTTGTCATGATGGCGGGTTATCATTTGTCATGATGCCGGGTTATCATTTGTCATGATGGCGGGTTATCATTTGTCATAATGTATTGAAGGTTCAGAAGTGACGGTTATTCATCCAGGTTGCCATATGGTTGGAAATTGATTCAACCATCAGCAGTCTGTTCATGCACTGTAATGTTCGTCACAATAAGACGCATTTTATGTCGCGTGTACGCTGCTGTTATTGTGGTGTTGATGCTTTTATTGTCGATGTATATTGCGTGTTTCAGCGAGTTCAACTTCGTCTTATCCTCGTTGCTTTTATTTTTATCTGTCAATCATTTCTATTAACTCAATGACTTGTCTTAATTTTTAGGAACGTAGACCTTATGATCCATGTACATTTTTTTCTATTGACCGAAATTTTTCTTTTTGTTCTGGCGTGAGTTGATTTTTGAAAATTTTTAAACATTTTTTTCATTGTAGAGATTCTCTAGATTTACTACAGATATTCTACTGCTCAAAAGCAGCAATGGCTAAAGCTGCTTCGATGTATGGCTGATCAACAACAGGATATTAACCGAAATCTACGTCTCGAGAATCAAGCGTGTGTGCATAACCGTGAACGAATGTATCGACTGCATGCAGTTCGATTCCCCATACTGTGCATTTGTAATTTTTATTATTTTTTTCAATATTGTGACAAAGTTCTTGGCGTAGTCAGGGTACAGCATTCCTTGAAAACTTCTTATCGGCTTCCTAGTACTCAGGTTGACGCTATCCGAGTTTTCCATCAGCATGAATAGAAGGATGAACAGTGCGTGGTTTTCAACCAATTCGTGTGTTACCGTTGCAGGTCCAGAAAGCCAAGTAGAAGAGGGATGGCGGGCAAATTTTGTTACTGTACGTCTTTAGCACTTTGTATTTATTATATTTTATAATAAAATGATGGAATTAGATTGAATTCTTGGATTTATTTGATCTTTTTGTAATTTAATCCTTGAGATTGCAGTTGCAAAATCGAATCATAATAATTACGTATCCCCGGAGCCCCGGAGGCCTGCAACTGGCGAATGGCGATGCCTTGTCACACGGACTTTGAAAATTACGGCCAATTAAGAGCCGACGTTAGGGAAAATTATTGGAAACCCTCTAGTGCAGATCGGTATTAATTAAATGCATCATGAGCAAAATAAGCCATCTGTGGCAACTCAGGGGTGCAGAGTTGAATCGATATATAGGCAATATAGTTCAAAACCGTACGTTATTCGAGTAACATGCTAGCTTCCCTGCACGACCCGTCCTTGGCAGACCTACTTTTTCTCGGAACTTTGAGATGCTGATGTGTGGTTGCTAGTGCCCAGGTCAGCGGCAGCTAGAAACAATTCTCTGAGGAGTTTAGTTTTAAACTCCGACTTCTGAGCAACTGTGGGAGGAGAGGAAGCCTGAAGATGATCTGAGTGAACCCTGATCCACTTCCCTCGGTGGAGCATGAATGGAAGGAGGCACGGGAATGAATGAGGGAGGATGAGATGTCGCAGTGTTCACTTGGTCCAGTTTTTGCTCTAACTACATGAAATGGCTTACAACAGAGTGAGAGTGCGAATATTTTTGTATTCACGTCGCATTCAATGTGACCAACTATTTGCTGGATTAGAGTGTATCTTGCACCACGATCCCCACGGCTCTGTCCATTTAAATTAGTTTACGAGCATGAACCTGAACCGTAATAAATGGAAGTGCCCATTAAATTTTCTGGTGTTAATATCGTTCTGTATTTATGCTGTCTATTCAAGCATATAAGTCAGGGAAGTTTACCATCCACCTACCTATCAAGAGAAGTGAAGCCGATTTGATTTGAAAGTTACTGAAAAATGCAATTAGCGGAGTAAAAAGAATGATCAGGTTTCAACCATCAAGTTTTAACTAAAAGACGTGCTAAAACTATCAAAGATAAAAAAGCGTCTAACTTTAAATACGTATTTAAATTAACTTTCTCTAATTCATCAAGTGTTCCATATAATTTATCATCCCACGTAGGAGTATATAACAAAAAGTTGGACCATTTGGGACTTCAGGGCACTAGCTTCAAAACTTTTACTGTAAACTTTACTGTTCAAAACTTTTTACTGTACTGCTTTACTTTTACTTTTGGCGGTAGAGGCCCTGAGAGGAGACATGGGTTGGAACCATGGGTTGGAGTACCTTTAAGGAAAGAAGAATGAGATCAGTTTTAGGTATAAAGTGAGACTGGAGCGAATGGACGATGAACGCTGGGCACGAAAGATGTATATGTGGAACATGAAGGTGAGCAAATGAGCACGTAGATGTCGGGCATTGGTGCGTAAGTGTTACGTGTGGTATGCATGAAGCATGGGTGCGTCAAAGGACGAATGGGTGGTGACAGTACGGGGTGCGATTGGGATAGAGTGGGATGAAAAAGAGTGGAAAAGAGAAATAAATAAGCGAGTGAAAGACTATGGGCTGAAGGTGTGGCAGCAAGAATGGAGGGAAAGGGCACTCTAAGACAGTATCAGATGAAAGCGATGCCAAAATATGAATGTATGTATGGTGGTAGTGGAGGTGGGGATCTTCTGCTTTGTGTTAGGGCAGACGCGCTAGGTGTGAATGGACGACGTACATACTGGTGGATTGAGAGGAGGAAGATAAATGTTTTATGTGTGATGGGGATGAGAAGGAAACTGTGGAGCAATTGTTGATGGAATGTGGGGCGTTTGAGAGAGCGCGTCAGTCTATGATGGAGGTGATTCTGAATGAGAGGTGAGATTAACGAAGTGGGCATGATAGAACAAGCGCAGAGTGTATGGTAATAATTCCGGGTCTGTCTGAGGGAGCAAGTGCGGCTATGTTTGAGAGTGTGAAGAGATATTTGGAAAACGTGTGGAGGATGAGGGAAAGGAGGAGGATGATGAGAGTGGGGTCTTAAGAATGGAGGGTTTAGAGAGGGGAGGGTGGGAAGACATGTGACCGTGCCGAATTGTTTTAGTACGTTGTTTTATTTTTTTTTTTGATGTTACATAACGAAATTGTTAAGCTTTTTTCTTGGGCCTGCTGTGAATATGGTTTAATTGAACTTTTTTGTTATGATACGAGTGTGAACTTTTAATTTTTGGATGCTAGTAAAAGTTTTTATGCAGCGTGTATGACCGATATAAAGGTCGTGACCGGAGGTCACCACGCATTTCAATTTCACTGTGTTTCTGAGTATTATCAGAGAACTCGTGGAGATGACAAATGGTTATGGTCTCTCTCATTTGTAAAACTCTTATACGGACCATTATGAGATCACTTTTAGATTTTTAATTCTGTTGGGAATCAAATTATAGTGACTTGGACTTCACCCGAAATTCCACTTTCAAATGTTATATATAAAGTCAGGGTGGACCATTGGTTGCAGTTCAGGATCAACGCTGAAATCGCTTTTGCTTATGCAACTTTAACGAGGTGTGCGTCTACCATCATCAATTTCGTTGAAACTCATTATTACAAAAGTTCAACATTCAAAAAATTTATTGAGCAAAGCAATCTCAAATTTATCTTAATATTTTAAGCAGCTATACGTTAATACCGGTAATATGTGGGAGCCAATATACTATTTATGTATTATCATGTGTTTATTGGTTGATTATAATAGAAAGATCTGTGTTTATAAATTTTTAAAAGCTTTAATCTTCTTAAGTGAGATGAAATATAGGGTTTAATTCTATTTCGGAAAGCATCGAATTTAAATTAATGTTGTTTTTAATATTACACTCTGTTATAGAATATAAAATCGCTGCGAAATAATGACCATTATGGTTTCGATCAGGTATAATTTATTAGCTAAATGGTTCAACTGAAGTCATGTTATTTGAAGATGACCTGTCGAAGTTACTGCGTCTTTAGCTTTTCAATTTTCTAGTCTGTGGGATCCGGATTGTACCAGTTTCAAACCAACTAGAGCTGGCGTCGTAGACGCATGGAACGTATTACTTTACTCATATATTTGTTTATATATGCAGTAATTTGAGTATTTTTGGGTATTGTCGACTCAAATTTCAGCAAAGTATCTAAAAGCAGTGTCTATGCGTCTAGATATTCCACATTTGAGTGTCTCAGGAGCAGAAAAGGTGAGTTTATTCCTTAATGACGAACAATGGCTCTCCATTTTCAGCCATTTGCCGCCTTCGCAGGAAGAATATTTCAAAGTTTATGAAATGATTTCAAATTTACCACAATATTGAGAATGAAGTTTGTTATTCATTTCGGTAATTTTTTCCTATTCTAGCCAATTTGTGTTCTGTATGGTGTTTCAAAATTTTCAAAAATTCCGGAAATACCTGGTTTCGATTTTCGAACCGTCATGATTTGTATCATTGTATGCGTAGCCTATATTACACTATTTGAAGTTTTGAACAAATAACATCTCTCACTCGAGGCCCTTGCCCCCTCAGTATCTCAAATGCTCAAAATAGTTGAACAATCAACAAATTGAGTTATTGGTTCAATTTTTTTACAAAAATTGTGACAGATAATTTACAGATTCCATGTTTTGATGATAAAAACATTTAGAAAGGCAGTACCTAAATCAGAGAATAGTAAGGGAAATGCAATTATTTTGCATAGGGTAAATGCAGTATATTCCAACTGACATAGTGGCAAAGCAGACTGCAGAGAGTTTTTTAGACTCTCCCTTGACTCTTGAGTTCATTTTTGAGTCCTATAAGTAGACCAGTAAAGTAACTGTCAAATTTGACACATTTTTCGATGATCTCACCACATGGCATGCATTGTCTCTCTTTGGATCTCAATATTTTCCCGCTAGACTAGTCTGAAAAAGTCCTATTTTTGTCTGAAATATCGCGGCTCTAATATCATATAATTTCAGTAGGTATGAAATCTCGCGGCTCGAATGTCATAAATTTTTGTTTGATTAAAAAATTGCGGTTTGCACTTCGCAAACATGTCATTTCATAAAATTTTCAACTTCCGCAATCCGCATTGCTTTACCG